AAGTTTGGTCAAAAATAAGCATCCTTGAACCAAATTTTGTATGAAAATAAGCAAATTATTACCCTGGCTTATTTATATATAGCTCGGGGTCCTAGTAAGTTACTAGCACTATATAGGGGATGCTTAAAGCCAGGTCCATCATGAATTTAAATTAACATTAAGGTTAGAGTCAGTTTAAGGCCTATATTGGCTAAAATCGGAAGATTTTTATATGTAAAATCATCTCTCCGACATTTTTTATTACTGTACCAAGATAGGTTTAAACATTTGTTCTTGCATTTTTCGCATTTTTTACTTTTTTTGCTTCGTCAGGCTGATCGGCGTAAACAAAATTTTGAGATTTTGATTGGTCGTACATAACGGAAGATCTCGTGATGGACCTGGCTTTAAGCGACCCCAGTATATAGTAAGAATATTTGCTCTTAAGTGAAATTCTTGAAGAGTGGATTATTTTGGATTAATTTTTAGCAGCGTATATCTACAGATTTTGCTTTTATGGAGATTTTTTTGATAGTAAAACGTTACGTTCTTAAACTGTATAAATAAGCAATTGATTTACATCAGCCAATAAAATGAAAGTTGTCCTATGAGTGCAATACCCATGAAAAAATAGTATAGAAGTATAAATAAGAACCGGGGAACAAGATCACGATATCATTAGTACACTTACAAGTAACTTGAAGCATTCAATACAGCCATAACGGTATCCGATACCTAAGATGGTTGAGACATTCGCTATGAAATACACACGTTTTGTAACCATGGGAGAGACTTGGCTAACATGAGGTCACATTAGTTCAGGGTTACCATCATAGGTTATACGAAATGAATGTTCATAAATGATTCAGATTTAATGATAACAGGTTATTAAAGAATGTAGTTTAGTTGATATACAATTCATAAGGATATTATTTATTATTTCATTTATGACTCAAGTCGAATTCTCCCAAAACTATTATTTCTTTTTATCAGTTTAGACAAAATAGCCATTGTGGAAACCATGATCTGTGGTCTCAAACCAAGATCCGTAGTTCCAAACCAAGATCTATGGTTTCGAACCAATATCTGTGGTTCTAAACCATACACAGTCATATCATATCAATAGCACTAACAAAAATAGTAAGGAATGTTAATACAATATAGGAAATATAACAAAGGAAATTTAAACACAAAAATTTTCGTAACAACGTACGTGTATACTGATCATTTTCAATAATAGTAAGATTGCTGTATTATGTAGCACAGCATACAAAGATTTACTCTATAGTTAAAACATATTTACAGTATTTTCAATGTTCGAAATTTCATTTCAAAGCAAATAATTTAATATTTTATATTAATTTTTTTAAAAAAACATGTCAAGAAGTTAGCGATAGTTGTGACAGTAAATTTTTTTTACGATGGGCAAAACAAGTTTAAAACCGGTTTTTGATAGTAAATAAAAGATCAAAACAATATTAGAAATTTTGTGTTACTGAGTGTCATACGTAACAATAAGTTTCATAGAAAAATGACGTTATTACACTCTATTTTTAAAGAAAAAATAAATAAATTGTTACTAGTGCTATTCCGACAAATGCCCAAAATAGTAGCGAAATAAATACATTTATGGTATTAGGGAACTAACACCCTCCTTTGACAATTACAAATTTTAATGTAACAAAAAACGTAATTGGTAAAATTAATTACATTAGAATGTGCAATAATCAAATAGGGAGGGCTATATTTAAGTAATAATGTTGGTTGTAACTAATCAAGTGTCGGAATTGAATAATAATAATATTATTATTAAAATGTAACATAAACAAACAAATTACGTACATTCTTATTCAACCATAAGACTTTAAAGCATCAAAACAAACTGCAGAAACTATTTGAAATTTTTGACTAACAAATAACCAAAGTTATTTGATAGATAAACATTTTATTTACATCAATTCAATTGAGTTACCTATTTCGGTTAACAATTAAAATAAGTTTGATAAATCGTAATATCTCGTGATTTATTTATCCAATTGGATTATTTTGGTGCCATTCGAATCCTCTCGATGAAACTATTCGAGTGATACCAAAATCATCCAAATTAGATCACTAATTCACAAGATATCACGGTTTAATCAAACATATTTAATTGTCATTTTGTACAGATTTGAATGTTATTTTGTACGAATTTAAATATCATTTTGTATGAAATTGATGTCAAAAGGGATATTTTTAACCATTTCCCGAAACTTTATAATAAGACCCTTACAATGCTAGAGAATTTACGAACTTATAACCAGGAAATAAATCGGCAAGTTTTTGTTAAACAATTCCAGAAAGCAAATTTTGCTTAAATTTTACTTATAAATTTAGGTGATTGTCTGACTGATACATTGTTAAATGAATGCTGTCAAGGAAAGTCCGAACGGCCTTTTTCCCTTGGCAGCACTCATATAAGGGAACTAATACTTATTACGTAAATATAGCCTTCCCAATTTGATAATTGCAAATTCTAATTTACCAATTACGTTTTTTGATTGCATTAGAATTTGTAATTGTCAAATGGGGGGCTATATTTACTTATCCGATACCTACAACAATCTAGACATTCGCTATGAAACATAATAGTAAGAGTATATGTCGATCATTTTCAATAATATCAAAACTGTCATATTATGTAGCACAGCATACAAAAACTTACCACTATAGTTAAAAAATATTTGCAATATTTTCAATATTCGAAATTTCATTTCGAAGCAAAGGATTTAATATTGTCAATTTCTAAAACCAATCAAAATATCAAATTAAATGCAATATGTAGATCATTTTTGTACAACAAAAATAAAGAAAAAACTAAAAATAAATAATATTGCTTATTAAACTATTTTTCAAGCTCTAAGAAAAAAAATTCCTTGCAAAATTTTGGTATAAACTATGATTTATTCCATTTTATAATATTAATTAAAATTATTTTTATTATAACAAAAATTATTTAATTTACATGTTACACAAACACTAGGTGTTAATTTAGTTTTTTTCTTTAATATTTTGTTGCGGTAGTAAATTTTTTACGACGGTCAAAAAACAATAAAATATTTAGAATATTCAATAACATATTGGTAATAGAAATTTTGTGCTACCGAGTGTCAGTTTTATAATAATTAGTTTGGAGCTAAAATTGATCTTAGTGTAATGTAGGATTATCACACAGCGTATTCAAATAAATAATCAAGATCAAGTGATACTAATAATCACTTGTCGTAAAAACAGAGAGTCCTTTGTTCGCTCCGGACAAAAATGACGTTATTACAATCTACTTTTAAATAAATGATGCAAACAATAAGATCAAAGCTTCATATACGTATATAACCTTTTTCTTTGCATTTAATTATTTTATTTTATTTTTTACTTAACAAAAAGCAAACTTTTTTCTGATCAATCCTAATAAGTAACTAAAAAAAACAAATACTGCAAGCCATCAAGTGATGAAATAAATAAATTGTTACTAGTGCTATTCCGAAAAATGCCCAAAAACAGTAGCAAAAAAATACATTTATGGTATTAGGAAACTAACACCCCCTTTAACAATTACAAATTCTAATGTAATCAAAAAACGGAATTGATAAATTGATTATATTAGAATTTGCAATTGTCAACTGGGGGAGGCTATATTTACATAATAAGTGTTAGTTGTAACCAATCAAGTGTTGGATTTGAATAATAATAATAATAATAACATTTCCTAAAACTAAAGTTAACCATATAAAAATTAAAGAGAGAAAATTTAATTTATGCACTTCTTTAATTAAAATTTAACATAAACAACTAAATAAAGTAAATACGTATATGCTTATTCAACTATGGCTTTAAAACATTATAATTTACCCAATCAAACAAACCACAGGAACTATTTGAAATGCTTGACTAACTAGGAATTATCAAATAACTGAAGTTATTTGATAACCTGATCACAGATAAACATTCAATTTTACATCAATTTATTTAAATTACCTATTTAGAGACGTCTAAAGCGGCGTAGATTCTTGTATAATATATATATTTTATTGAATTAACTTTAGTGTTAGGTATATCTTAGATTAAGATTAGGACAAGTTGTTTTTCTTTCTTGCTTTGCTTCGCCGGCGATCGTCAAATTCTATAATTTGATTTGTGTATATCACGTGATTTGCTCACCCTATTTTGGTTAAACAATAAATTGTTATGATTTTCATAATACAGTAATCTATTTTTAGAAATAGTAAATAAAAAATTGAAAACTTCATTGTCATGATTCTTTTTGATTTTATTTTTAACAACCCCTGAAGCTTTATGATAAGACCCTTATAATTCTAGAGAATTTACGAACTTATACCAGGGATTAAACCGGCAAGTTTTTGTTAAATAATTCCGGAAAGCAAATTTTGCTTAAATTTACAAAAGTTTAGTGGTTGATTATTTGACCCACTATTAAAAATTCTACACACATGATGCATAACATATTACGTGACAATTGCAAATTCAATTTTACCAATTACGTTTTTTGATTATATTGGAATTTGTAATTGTCAAATGGGGAAGGCTATAAGTGTTAGTTCCCTAATTACTTATATTTACGTTTGATAAAATGCATAAAATTATTATAAAAATGAGGGCATTTTGTTATTTATTTAAATTTATTTAATGCAGGAGATGTTTATGAAACAAGTAAAAATGATTATGAGAATATGAGTTAGGAGATATTTGATGAAACAAATAAAATGGTCAGGAGGCATTTGATGAGACAACGAAAATGGTGACATGGTGAAACTTTAATTATTTATAAATTTACTGTTATTTTTACTTGATCAAACTTTGTTTGAAATTACGCTCTCAAATTAATTCCTTAGAATCTAATTCCAATCCCACTCTAGAACAAAATAATAATAATATAAAAATCAATTGCTACCTAATTTGTTATAAAAGGACTTAATTGCTGGAATACATAGTGATTAGTAACTAAAAATAATAATTCAAGTAGCATGAAAAATAAAAAAGCGCAAGATTATATTAATAAAAAATACCCAATAAATGGAAAATGTAATAGAAAATCCGATCAAGAAAACAAGGGCAAAAGACGTGAAGAAATAACAAAATTAGATCTAACTAAAGGTCAAATCAGTGAAACCATATTTGGTAAAAGCACCCTATCCGAACCCATAAACCTATTTGGTAACTTAAAATTAGAAGGATTTCCTAATTTGCGAATTTTTAAAATCTACTCTCATTAATTAAATAGTTTGGATGTTATTGCTTGTAGATATTTAGAAGAATTAGAATGTTATGATAATGAACTTAATAGTTTAAATATAAATGGTTGCTCTAATCTCAAAAGAATTGACTGTTCTAATAATCCCAGTTTAAACGAAATAAATATAAATAATTGTCCAAACTTTGATATAAACCAATCAAAGACTGATCTTATATGTGATAATAAGGCTGGTAAATTAGTGAGACCAAAACAAAACAGTTCTCAAAAAGTTAAACAAGAAAGAGATGCCAATGTTAAACAAGAAAGAGATGCCAATGTTAAACAAGAAAGAAATACCAACGATAAACAAGAAAGAAATGCCAACGATAAACAAGAAATTGATCAAGAAATATCTATAAAAAAGAGCAAGTAAAAGAATTGCAAAGTGAATTGTCTTTGAAACTTAAAGATAATTTAGTGAAAACCCTAAATAAATATCTTATTAATGGCATTAAAATGGCCATAGAAGGAACTGATGTTAATGATTATTATAACAAAAACTTAACCAATTTAAAAAAAGGGTTAGGATCAGATATTGAAGGTCGAAATAAACTTGATCAATTAATTTCTTTGCAAAAGTATATATTTAATATGGAAAAGGAATCTACGACATCACAAGTTGGATCACCTCCGCCTTATTCCACCTAAATTATATTATATGTAATCACATTTACGTTTAGACCAAATTATGATTTAATTTATAATAACTCTCCATATATGCCTTGCTAAAATCCTTTCGGAATTTTTATTAGATGTCAACTTATTCTATTTTTATACTCTATAATTTTGAAGAATATTATTTCTATTTACCTTTGCGAAAAATTTTTATAATATATAACATTACGATGTGAATCTGGATACTAGCTATAGATAAATCTACTCTAAAAAAAGTATAACGTTAATAGTTAGGAATGATATTTTTAGACTTAGCTTGGATTCATTTTAAATATTCTTTTTTGGAGCAGATTTATATAAAATTTTCGTATTATTAAGATTTTTTATTATGTACAATTAAATCTTTAATGGGTTTTATTATTTATCGTCGTAGCTTCTATGTGGAGTTTCAAACTGTGCTTATGAATCATGATTTGCAAGCAAAGTTTGAAACTCCGCATATAGGATTATTAGACTAGCAATAAATTATAAAATGCTTTATTTTATATTTTTTATATTCCATATTTTTTATTTGTATTTTAAATAAGATTTTTCCCATCAAGTTTTTTCCTTGGCAATTTGGCTAAATTTTATTATATTTTATATTTATATAATTATTTATTTTTTTATTAATAAATATTGTCGTGGCTGAAGCTGGAAATGGCTGATGCTAGAAATTTTAATTATTTTAATATGAAATTTTCAAAAATTTTTGGGGCCTTTTGTTAGGGGGTTTTTTTTAGGGTTAGGGATAGTTTAATAATAAAAGTGTATACCGTATTTGCGCGTAATAACGCGCAGGTGCATGTTATTTTGAGACCCTGTGCGTTATTTCGGGACGCGCATGCGCGGTAATTCGAATCATTTTGACAAATTTGGGTTACAAGAGGAAGTCCAAGTTTTATTAATGAACTTAGCCTGAAAAATTCGATCAAATATGTAATATGGTATATTTAAGGGGGCACGTTATTTTGGGACGCGCATGGCGTTATTTTGAGTCAAAAAACCAAATTTTTAAAAAGTGTGAGTTTTGAAATAACGCCTATGTGCGTTATTACGCGCAAATACGGTTTGTGGATTTTGGTATGTTTAAGGAGTTTACTATAATTTATATTTAATAAGATATCTAAAAGTTTAAACAATTAATTAGTCCAATAAACTATTAGACTAGGAACTGGAAACTAGTGTAAGTCCGGAGCGCAAAAATTATATAAATTGAATTATTTCTAGTTCATAGTTGTATATACAATAGTAAAGGTCTGCATTATACCAGTACGATCATGTTGAATGTAACATGAAATGTGGGAGGGAGGTCATAGGCAGACATTCGTATGATTGGCTGCTTAAATCAATTTAATTTTACATTATTTATAGTTTAAAGTACTTTTTAAAAAAAAGAAAACTACGAAGAAAGAAGTATATAGAAAGGTTTATTGGAGTTGTAGGACTCCACTATTAAAATAATCAAAATTCTTTTTTGTTTTAGAGAAGTTAGCATAATAGCGACTTCTTAAAATAAGGTTATCACCGTGCTAACTTCTCTAAAACAAAAAAGAATTTTGATTATTTTTAATAGTGGAGTCCTTACAACACTAATAAAACTTTCTATATAATTCTTTTTTGTTTATTCTTCGTAGTTTTCTTTTTTTTAAAAAGTACTTTAAACTGTATAAATAATGTAAATTTAAATTGATTTAAACAGCCAATCATACGAATGTCTGCCTATGAAGACGGATCGTAGATTTATTATGACCAGGTCAAGTAAGACTGTTAGTAATTTCTTTCCGATTATAATGCGTATATTACTCAACTTATATAATAAGGGTAGCTGCGCAGCGCGTGACGCAGCGCAGAACCAGTACGATCTCATTCATGTGTTGTAGCCTAGTTATTTGTATAATGATATTAGTTAAATTATTATCATATTTTTGTGAAGTTAGCATATTCGGAAATTAATTTTTGAAGTTTAACTTATTTATTTATTTATTCAAAATTTGTGCATTTTTTTTGGTCTGTTTTATTTAGTGCTTTGCACTTTGCGTCGGTGCGAAAGTTGCATTTTGTAAATTTAGTGATTGAATTAGGGTGCTGCGCAGCGCAAGACACCATACATACTCTTGTCTTCATTTTTTCTAAAAGAAAATCGTATTTTATTTTTATTATTATTACGGTAAAAAACTGTTATATAATTCTATAATTCATTATATATTTCGCTATTCGCATGTATTTTATCGTCACGAATTTCATCATTTGCCAATTAAAAGTGATTATTTTTGAATCCAGATCAAAATGTTATTATGTCATATATATAAAGTTGGTCCGGGTTTAAAAATAATTACCCAAGTTGCCTGATGAAATGGTTTCGTCGTTATGATAAAACTATTTCATCATTCGTCAGGGATTATTAATATGTCCGGAACGGGCCGGCCTGTTCCGGTTCCTACTAATAGCCATGAAGCCCAATTTCCAAACTCTTATATTCTAACGGTGTTGTGTATCAAATAAAGGTCTCTTGTACTGCTATTGCTACGGAACCTAGTGGACCTTGTGTTGCCTACTACGTAGTTTCTTTACAAATATGAGGCCATGCTTTGCTTGGAGTCTAATCACTGATGTGTATATTTTTTTATCATTATACATAAATATATATATTAGTTTACTTATGTACCATCGCGATAACTAATACAAACATCTGGATTAACGATTAATGCATAAATTTACATTAGTAGTCAATATACTTGAATAAACTAACTGCATATGAAATAAAACTTTGTAAGGAATTTCTTTTGTCAAGATACTCAGAGTGGCTTCATCAGTAAAATTATGAGATATTACACTTTTTTATAGCTACTATTAATTTCTGGAACACCTGCACATTACCCGAAATCTTTTTGGTCATTTGGTAAATTACCTAACTCTACAAAATACATCACTGCCTTCAGACTGAAGATCTGAAGGCAGCGATATAGATTGGGTAATTTACCAAATGTTCAAAAGATTTCTGGTAATGTGCAGGTGTTCCAGAAATTATGATAATAGCTGTAAAAAAAATCATTGATCTTTTGCTTTTTGCAAATCAAGCCAACACATGTGCAATGTACACTACGCGTCATCTGAATGTGCTGCTTCTTATGACATAGTATAATGTGCCACCTTTTGCCATAATGTCTGTGCAATTTTTCATCGTGATATTCAATAAAACGCACCTGTGCATGCTATATGATTTGTGCCGTTTTGTGCATTTCTTACCACACTTTCTTATTGGGTTGCTATTTATTTTTTCCATAAATTAATCTGGTATCACCTAATAGCGATCTTATTTTCTGGAATTACCTGATAGTAGAACTGATAAAAAAAAAAAAAATTGACTGCCAGCTTAATTTTCTGATTTCTTGTTATACAAGGTGAAAAATAACTTTAAATGTGAAAGTGAGTCTATTAATTTACTGTAGATTAAAAAAAAAATCCATGTAATGCAAAATGAAATCAACTTTGCCTTGACAAAGCTCCGAATCGCCATGGTTCCTAATAATCTTTCAACCCAAAATCTGTAAATTTTGATTTTTTTTTTTTACGAATAAGTCCAAATATAATGTGCCTTTATTATTTTACTAACAAACACTTTAAAGACACTACATTTCATCAATATTCATGAATGACAAGCTTATTTTACAGACAATTTATTTACAGACAAGTTCATCTCATAACCATTATATTTCATCAATAGTTCGTATCACTTAATTCTAATTTTAAACTTAATTACTATATTGATTAGAATTACCTTGCAAAATAAGCTGTCAGCAAAATATATTAGTTATTGATTGAAACTGGTTTTTAAGTAAACTATTTAATGTGAATAATGAAAGACAAAGTCGTGTCTAAAAAAAACAGAGAAAATGAAACAACAAAACCTCAATTAGCAACATAGATTTTCATCATAATGATGAATTTTGCAATTAATAATCAGTGACATCAGATTGCATCATAGTGAGCGATTTAAGTTAGAGAAAATTTTAATTCCTTCCAAAAACCTCAATTAGCAACGTAGATTTACATCATAATGATAAATTTTTAACTCCTACAGGGAGATCCCCAAAATTCCGAGTCGGACGCTTCAGAACTCTTGCTGGAAGGGCCGGAGTAGATCAATTTTGCCCCAAGATTACTAAGAATTTTACTAATGAAACAATAGTCATTCATTAAGTGAAAAGTGCCCAGCTGATAATTTTACTATAGCCTATAGCTTCTGCTAACTCTAACTCAGTCCTAATCCTGACCCTAACCACGACGCATTTCAGCCATTACAACCCAGGGATCCCTCTGTAGAAAATTGATTTACTGAACAAAAAATTTTATTATAAAATTCCTAATCATGATAGAAAACATGACACATTAATGTTTGAAACCGGATCAAACCAGATAAATTAGTCTATTACCACCCGGATAAGCATGTGATCTGTTAATCAATATGCACTTGTCTAGATTATTGATTTCTTAGCGATCGTAGTTTATATCGATTTATTAACTAATAAAGTCAATGTGTACTTTAGCATTTTCAAAACGTGATCAGTAAGCAAGTTATGATCAAAATGACATCATAATTCAATTTATTAGCAATTCTTGAATGTGTGCCAGGTTGGTAGCACATTAATCAGCCCAAGTAGTTTGCGCTAATTAAAAAATTCTAACAATAATAATAAAATTATAAGTTTTAATAGA